GCCAGACCAACGAACTACAGAAGTATAAATTGAGGGGCAGCGACCAGCCATTCATTCATTCGTGCAGAAGCCATGCGGAAGCGCTGCCACAGCGACTTGTGCGAGGTGGTCTGCAGTAGGCCCGAAGACGAAGTGGGCGAGAAGGAAGCTTAGCCATAGCGATAGGGTAGCAGCGGCCATAGCCGCCATAGCTGATAGGAGAGAGAGTGGTGTGTGTGAGTGTGCTAGTGTACAGTGTGTTGCGTGTGGGATATCCAGGGTGATCCTGTGTGCGAACAGCAGTGTTGAGCAAGTGACGAACAGAGAGTTGTACAGGCGCTGATGCGCCAGAGCCATCTGAAGTGAAATTGTATCTAAACTGTGTTCCGGGTTTTCATATTTCTGAGTTTGAAGTGGGCGCTTGCCGCCAGTTTGTTGCGCAACCTGTTTGTATGCCTGTGAAGGAGAACGAAAGTGAGTCTGATTGCACAAGTCTGATTACAAAACACAGACCAAGGCAAAACAATGTCTTTAGTGTGCTTTGTGTCGTCTGCTGTATTTTCTTTGTTTGCTTTCCAAAGTGCACTCCTTTAGTTGACAGATGTGTGAAGCAAATCTGTTTCAATTTTGGATATACTTATCTGGGTGGGATTCTGCGTGACTCTGTTGTCATATTGCTATACACTCTGAAAAACCATGCCTGTGCCATTACTGTTTCGTCGGACTTTCACCGAGTCATCAGGAGGTTGAACCCCGACAGTCTACCCAGGATGCATTTGACTGATGGAGGAGTCACCACATCGCCCAGAGTTAGCGATACCAATTAGAAAAAAGGTCGACTTTACTCACACCAACCTTGCAATCCTAGCAGACTGCCGGTCCAAACCCCTGACAAGAACGGTAGCGAATCTCAGAAACTAATCTGACACAGTCATAAAACCCACTCTACACACCCACTCAGCCATGGGCACTCAATGGCATGACTGCCAGTACACTGTGTGTGTATGGTGGTGGGGAGGGGGGGGGGGGAAGGCGGGGGGCTGTAAAGGGGTTGTCGTGGTGACATTCTGTGTGAGTGTGTATCCGTGTGTGTGTGTGTCTGTGCGTGTGTGTTATAGATTTTCCCCACAACAGACCCAATTCCACCCAGATGAATAGATTCAGAATCAAAGCAATCTTTGTCCTATTGCAGACAACAAGAGCATTTGAGATGAGACAGTCCTATATATTCAAGCACTTTTATAATTAGACAGTTTATTGGTTGTTCTTGGGGTACCCCTTCCATTTGTTATTGCAGCTCCCCTTTTACTGTGCCTCTTACGTACACGGCTGCCCACGTTGATTGTGGTTGAGCGGCAGCTGCCCACTTCCCCATGTGTCTTCACGGCCCACTTGCACGTTATTTCAGGCGGCAGAGTAAAAGGGAAGTTATGCTCCTGTTCATTTCACTTCAGATCTTCAGCTTATACTTAGTCTTTGCGTCTGTCCTTCATCTTAATACTTCCGTTCATTTCATTTCTGATCTTCATATCGTCTGTTCTCTTAACGATGCTCATTCGTACGTATTCGTTAGTAGCACAAAGGGAGCGGAGGGGAACATGTTGGGTCGAGGAGCAGTTAATGCCTATGGCAAGCGGCCACCCCTACAGACCGGACAGGACCAGATCGGGTGCGGGCTAAGGAAGCACCGCATCCAATTCTCGCAGTCACAGTTGCTGCATCGAATGTCACAGGCTACGTGGCTCCTACATGCTAGGAACACAGAGGCACGTCGACCGCAATTATAGAGGCATTGCTGTTCCAGCACGCCTACAAATTGGACATGACATGTCAGGGTGCCGTACACGAGTACAGTGCTGACTGTCGTCGTACGTATGGAAGCAAAAAATTGCATGGACTATCCCTTCATAATCCTCACGACACAAGGCATGCGAACCACATGCTAGTTGAATCTCCGACGGGTCATCACACAGCGGCATGGAGCATCTTTCTTGGGATTCCTCAGTATTTATTCCTTCTCTATGGGCAGATGACAACAGGGAGGATAGGTCCAAAGCAAGGGCGTTCAGCAGCTGAAGGATTTGGTCCACAACAACTTGCCCTGGTGGTGATAAACTATGAGCACATCGCTCTGCCCGTGGTTCATATAGAAGTCTATTTTCCTCCTCGGACTTCTGTGTCTGTCGTTTGTCTGGCAAGAAAGAGGGAGATCCGTCAGCGGTTGTCATACGTGTATGACCAACACCGCATGTGGGACATGCTAGGAGTGGATGTGGAGGGTGACGGCACCGGGGATAGTCCACGCAGTAAAGACATACTTTTTATGACAGCTTCCTGGAAGCATTGACGGCATATGGCATGTTGCTGACATGTCATTAGTATGGAAGGCTAACGTGCACAGTTATTTAAGCATGGCAGATCAAGGCCACAACGGCATGCTGGGCAAGTAATCAGGGGTTGAGGGGGGTGAGCACAGGACAGAGGATCACAGTTTTCGTGTGAGAGGCTAGCAGTGACCATTCCTTCATAGTGTTCAGAGCAGCGGCTACGCCGTGTACATGTCAACTGAACTGCACCTGTGCGACGACACAACGGGAGGGCACAGCCACCATCCTCTGGAGAGGTCCTTTCACTGTTTGTGGTGGAATCAGCCAGATTGCTCTCTGGGGGGTGCAGTGCTTGCATGTGCTCATCAACATACTGTTCCTGATGGACAAGCCAGACGAAATGATCCTCCAGCATTTGGTGACAGAAAGATTTAATATTTCCCACTGTGTGCACCCTACCGCCATTCTCCCATAGGGTCCATGAATTATCTGCAGAGGTAAGACCACTGAAATGACCTGGACGATATAAAGATATATGCCCAAATATTTGGATCCCTGCCTGGCACGTGGTTTTGCGGAACAGGCTGGAAATGCAGTTGCCTACCCATAAATTCCATAGCCAGGACTTCTATGTTCACACCAGGTGCAGCGCTGTGGTCCTCTGGGCAGACTGCACGGTGCTCTTCTTCTATCCAGCAAACAACGTCTGCAAAATCAAAACAGTATAAGGATTACAATTGTAAGCAAGGAGACATACATTAATGGCATGGTATGCACAGCACCCTCGTTCGTGGTGGTGGTGTGACAGTGGTGATGATGATGGTGGTGGTGCTGCTGCTGCTGCTGATGTGTGGTGGTGGCGGTGATGATGGTAGTGGCGGTGCTGCTGATGATGATGATGATGGCAGCGCTGGCGGTGGTGGTGGTGGTCGTGGTAGTGGCGGTGGTGGTGGTGGTCGTGGTCGTGGTAGTGGTTGTGGTTGTGGTTGTGGTTGTGGGGGGGGCTGTGGTAGTGGTGGTCGTGGTAGTTCCTGTCTCTTATACACATCTAGATGTGTATAAGAG